GCTTTCAGATTGACGAAGAGCTGATACCAAGAGCTCAAACGCGCTGTCAGCGAACGGCGCTATGATGGATCTGAAACGTCGATGCACGACACCTTGTCCAATTCTGTGCATTACACGGCAGGTGCGAGACATCACGATGACGTCTGCTATTGTCACCATTGCCAGTATCAATGTCTTCTTCTTGCACTATAACTGTTGATATGTAATAAGCGATAAACTTAACAGGATCTGCGCGGCGCGTAACTAGGAACTCCTCCAGAGCTGCATTTTGCCATACTGCCTGAATATACGCAGACAAGAGAATGTTTGATATCTGTTGGCATCGACGATGACGTTCAACAACAGAAATATTAATGATTTATTGATGTTTATTGATGTTTATTATTGGCACATAGTCCGTCAGATTTCGTCGCATGCCATATGACCTTGCAAGCAAGGTGACTGAACGTTCGTCGTTGAACGTTCAATGTCTCAGAAACATAAGATATATTCCCGAGGTGCGTACGTGCCAACTTATGTATCCGAGTCATAGAATTCCCTCAATGATTATTTTCAACTTGGAAGAAGATCGCAAAATCCGAAGCATCTCAGACAACGCGTTAATGTCGTGCGACACTCACAATTTTGAGACTATCATTTGGTACTTCAAGTTGTTGGGCGGTGATGATGACAGATGTGCTGCTCGTATAGCGACAGGCAGCGGGAAAAGGGCAGATTCGTTCGTCTTCGAGTCATGCACATGATACATCATTTTTCCTGCGGGCCCGGAACCACGAACTCACTGGCATCTTTTTTTCTCGCAACCCTGCAATGATAATTGCATGCCCAACGAAGGCGCTAGATCTGGGCAACTGACTTCATAGTTTCCGACCCAATAAACGACTGTTATATTTCTTCGAATGGTTCTCGCTAAGGGAGACTAATCATATGGAATGGTCTACAATTTGACAACGAAGGAGACAGCAGCCAAACATCCATGTTTAAGTTGACTAATTGCAGGCGCGTGCAGTGTATCATGATAGGGGATCCCGTACTGGCTGGTGAGGGGCCTGGAGCCTGAGGATGCGATATCGTCGACATCGACGTGGCAGATCGACTAAATTCAGATTATGATTCACAAGCTGGCAAGGTCTTAGTCACTTCTTGATCCTTTTGGTTGAGAAATTCCCTTGAATCTATGTGGCAGATCACAGTGATGATCATGATAGACTGAACATTCTGCCACATAGGTTCTGCACAGTTTCTCGCTGGCCCATCTCCTGCTAGGTTTCGTTGACTTTGTTGCATATTTAAAGATCAGATGTTACTTGGTCTGCCTCGGTATCTCGTATCCTCTCTTGGTAGCCATGATCACTGAAACGGTGGAATGGACACCTGATGCCACCGACGAAAAATCCTACTACATAAAGGGGGATATCGAGACCACCACCCAAGAAGCTGAAACAGACGAGAACGTTGTCCTTCAGAACGAGCGAGACATTGCAACTCACGTCATTTCCGTGGACGACGATCCTAGTCTGAACCCCTGGACCTTTCGGACCTTCTTCATCGGCCTTGGCCTTTCCGCCTTTGGTGGTTCCCTGGGTAAAGCAGTCGAGATTATCTAGTCAAGGCTCTTACTTACTTGCACTGTCTCCTAGCTCAAATTTATTACTTCAAACCTGTGAGAGTTTCCTGATCAAATATTCTCTCAAACGCCTCATTCGGGTGGACACTCCAGCAAACCGTCTATGTGTCTTTGATGTTCCTCGCCATCATATCCTATGTGATTGGCCTTGCGATGGAAACATTCATCCCCCGCCACGGACTGCTCCGATACTTGAATCCGGTGCGTTTTCCACATAGCCCCTGACCTTGGCGCTCATGCATATTTATGAATATCAGGGGCCATTTAATAAGAAGGAGAATGCGTTCATTATCATTATGTGCAGTGCAGCCGCGAATTCTGCGTTAGCTACGGAAGTTCTCGCTGTCCAACGGTGGGCTCGCAATCCGATTCCTCTGTCGGTGGTGATTCACGACTCATTAGTTTGTATTATAACGTCACTCCGAACGCCGGCTCGTCAATCTTTTTGTTGTTCTCTTCTCAACTGCTCGGGTGCGTTGCGCTGGTGTACTCCTTACTGCACCCATCGCTGAAGCCGCAAACCACAGCTATGGGATCGGCGGTCTGATGCGAGGTACTTTTGTGTCCAACAGTAGCTAAACTTGTAATCTTAACTTACGACACTGTGACCCAGGGATCCTCCTCTACCCGTCGAAGATGTTGTACCCCGGCGTTCTCCCGTTGCTCTCCATGTTCGACGCTTTTTATCGCGATGGGGTCGAAGCACGCCAAAGGCTCAAGGTCTTCTATTTCGTTTTCACTGCGTGTGTTTAACCTTCATCGATAAATCATAATCTTCAACTTCTATTTATCTTGAACTCAGAATCTTTATATGGGAGATTTTTCCCGAATGGATATTTCCGCTGCTCACTGGTCTCTCAATATTCTGCCTCGCTGCTCCTAACAATGCTGCTGTATCTCGCGTGTTTGGTGGTTCTAATGGAAACGAGGGCCTCGGTCTATTGTCAATATGCTTCGACTGGCAGGTACAGCTCTCTGTCCAGATACGTATGTTGATATTCAGGGTTAAACTTTGGTTCAGTACATCTCGAGTAATGCTGGTAACCCGATGACTATTCCACTGTGGGCTCAGGTTAGTTGATAATCCTATACATGTGACGCTTCTGATAACACCCCTCCTAGCTCTCCAGCTTCATTGGTTATATTCTCTGCATGTATGTAATTTCAGTCGCATCGCAAAACATTGCTGAAGGAGATGAAGGGTCGTCTTCGTCGCCGTATTCTACAACAACATTTGGGAATCTCAGAACTTCCCATTTGTACGTAATATCCTCATTGCGCTTTCTAATATCCAGGCTAACAATGCACCAATCAGTTGGCGCAGCTCCTCTTCTACGAGAACGGGACTGTCTACGACCAGACTTTGATTATGAACTCCAATTATGAGGTGGATCCCACCTTAGTGGCAGAGCAGGGACTGCCATTCTACACTGGTACCTGGATTATCAACCTGCTGTCAACCAACCTCGTATGCCATGAATTACTGCTGATGTAAAGTGCTTTGCTCATAGTTCCAACACAGGGACTCGCTGCGACATTCACTCACCTCCTCCTGTGGAATAAAGATGACCTTCGTGCAGCCTGGACTTGGATGAACATGGATACGCTGAGAAGTTGGCGTGCTAATTTCGATTGGAAATTCTGGAAACACGGTGGAAAGAGGGAAGTCCCCGCCAACACTGAGGACCTCGACCCACACTACCGGGAGATACTGAAGGTTAGCCCTTCTCACATCAGATAGAGACCTTACTAGTAACACATTGCCGTACAGTATCCAGATGCTCCGAATAGTTGGTACCTCTTGACGCTTGTTCTCTCTTTCACTGTTGGACTGGTCGTCATCTACGAGACAAATTCCACGCTTCCCTGGTGAGCAACATTCTCATTCTCCATCTGGCGAAATTTTTTATCATGTGTTTTGAGGTGGGGCTTTGTCATCGCAGTCCTCTTGGCCGCTGTGTCTATTTTGTTCTTCGGCGCGTTGTACGCCATTACCGGCATTAATATTCCCATCCGCACGTATTATTTATGCGTTATAGCTATCCTAGCTGATCTTTTGGCGAAGAAACCCTGGTGCAGATGATTGCTGGCTACCTGCACAACGGAAGGCCCATGGCGAACATGTTCTTTGTTCGTATTGACGTACTTTCCGATTTTTGACCACTACTGATGTTGTCGTTGACAGGTCCTTTACAGCTATGTCCGTATCCCTGTAGTCGCCTTGATTCGCATTTGATTCGCGTTCTCGTCCAGAATACTGTGTCTCAAGCTTTGCTGCTACTGCGTGATCTGAAGATTGCTCAATGTCTGTGATGCTTTGTCGGGGGAGGTACTTCTCACTGACAGACACTCAGATGCCAAACTGCCTCCTCGAGCTGCATTCACAGCCCAGATCATTGGCACCTTACTCGGCGCTGTTCTCAACTATGGTTAGGGAATTGTCTTGCCCATCTGTTGACTATATATGACTCGTTGTTCTAGTGTTGACGAATTCTATCATCGACAATCAGCGCGAAATCCTGCTGTCTGTACAAGGAACAAACATCTGGTCTGGCCAGCAACCTCAAGCATACAACTCGCAAGCAATTGCGTGGGGTGGCCTTGCTCACCAACTCTTTTCAGCTGATCAAAGGTACCAATGGGTCCCCTTGTCCTATCTCATTGGCTTGGTCGCACCTATTCCTTTCTGGATTATTCATCGTTACTGGCAGAGACTACGCATGGATTACTATTACATCCCTATCATCTGGTACGCTCTGAACTCGTCGATGACTTATACTCAAACCCCATTATTCACACAGTTACTATGTTGGAGCACTTGGCGTCGGAATAAACTCTTCAGTTGTGTCGTATTACATGGTCTCGTTCTTGTGTCAGTGGTGGCTCCGTACTAGATACCCGCGTTGGTTTGTGAAATACAACTATTTAGTCGGCGCAGGTACGTTTCGCGGCCATCTTATCTTGGCTGTTAACATCGCACTGTACTATAGCCCTCGATGGTGGAACACAGGTCATGGTACTCATTCTCTCCTTTGCAGTTCAAGGGGCTGCTGGAAAAGCACATCTTATTCCGGAATGGTGGGGTGCGAACCAAGGTGGAAACTACGACCGCTGCCTGTCTCTCTGAATACCATACACTAAATTGATAGACTGCGACAGGTATCGGCGACATCTCCTTACAGTATGAAGTGATATTATCGTGACAGATTAACTTATTTAGATCCCGTTCGAGTCAGATGCGGATGACATATCCCTTGCGCACAACAAACATGGTGTTCGCGTGGTATGGTCGGCTGGGCAGCGGGCTGGCGAGTACTACAGGAGATATCTAAAACCCTTTGGTAGCCCTAGAGCCCGCTCTTCAGCTTCAGCAGTTTTATTACACCGGGCAAGGTGTCGCCTAAATGCCCGGCACATCGCAATGCATATAACGCTCGTCAAGATGCAAATGAGATATGACTTGACGTATGAAGGTCCCCAACTGGAAGGCCAGAAGTACCTGCGACGGCGTCAATAGCGGCATAGACAACGAGTTGGATGTGAACTGACGGTGCACCGATGTTGCCGCATATTCCCATTGAGTTGATCAATGCGATGGCCGCAGCGCGTTTCGACTGCGATTGGGAAAAGGTATTTAAAACCCAAGTCACAAAAATAACAAAGGCAACTGGGGCCTGAGTCATGAAGAACCTTGATGGAACATGTAAATGAAATAACTGAACGAGGGAGATAAAAGTCATACGGGGACAGATATCGAATAGCCGTATTCATAGTAGAAAATAGCAGTGATAAACCCAACGGCACCGACAAGTAGAGGGCCGGCGATGTGCCAGAAGCGGTCACCAGTTGCATCGGAGTGCCTTGGCCATTGTTAATTCACCTTTGGATCCTGATAAGTAACAACTGACCAGGCCACAATAAATGAGGTTGCAGTTCCCAGAATCCACGGAGGTGCACAGAGTAAGAGGCTGATAGTCGGGATGTAACCCATTGTAGCGGATAGTGTTGGAAAGAAATTACTGCATGACAAGAAGCTACCATAAAAGAAAGAGTAGCACCAAGCCACCATACTCTCCGATCCACGAGAGCATCAACTAGACCAGAAAATCTCTCTACGGGGGCCTGGTATCGATCTCCAGCCGCAGTTTCCTTTTCCATGCGTCGTTTGGCCAAAGATTGTTCATCAGGCGTAAGCCAGACACTCGGCGTGGAAGGAAAATCTGGTAAAATCCAGATTGCAGACACTGCAACAACGATGGTCAAAGTGCCCTCCACAAAGAAGAGCCACCTTGAGCAGCAAGGTCAGCCCAATGCCAATGTTGGGAAGAAGCGAAAGTCGCCTCAGACCTCCGAGCCGGAACACCAAGAGTGCCATCTAAGCCTGCCAAAATTCCCGACGCTGCAAGGGTGCTGAAAGTATAGCTGATCGAGTTGCCACAATAAAAAAGCGCTGTGCGTAGCCCTAGCTCATTGCGCTTGTACCTATATTAAGTTCATAATATGCTGGATGGAGGGTATGGGGTAACTACACCATCGGGAGAGAAGAAATACAGCACCAGGAAAGAATGCCGCCTCAACAAATCCGAGGAAGAAACGCAAGATAAGAGCAGCATGATGCATCACACTTACACAAATCATGATATAAATCAAAACCAAGAAGGCTACTCGGAGGTCCAGCTTCAGCGGAGAGACCTCTTCTCCATAATTGGTCTGTTCTGTTGATCAACGTACGACAGTGGTGGAGAATCAATATTGCTGGTGCCATAATGAGGATTGGAGTTGCCTGCGTCAAGTAGGGGGCGATCGTCTGACATTAATATTCCCGTGGATGAGTTGGCGAATTCAGCTGGTATCAGCTTCAGAACAGATACTACGTTATAGTAAGTCACATTAAGTCACTATGGTTTTACCGCTCGGAATCATCACGTGACTTTAAACGTACTGAGTTGCGACGGAGTTTCACTACGCTAACTACTAGTAACTAGTACTGCCAGTGAGCTTCGGCCGCATGCAACCCAACACCAGTGCTGCATGGCAGGACCGTATCCCTGATTTTCAAAAGCTGCTGGTTATTTCTGCTGTCATTCGTGTTGCGCTTATACTGTACAGCGAATGGCACGATGCGCATTCGATAGTGAAGTACACCGACATTGACTATCGTGTATTCAGTGACGCTGCCAGATTCATCCTTTATCCCAAACTGCAGGGTAATATTGCAAAGGGGCCACTTGCACCACTCTTTTTTACTGTCGGAGAGTAAGTTTATCGGTCTGTTTGGTGATGTCAGGCTCAGTGATTCCATAGTCCGTACGCTCGGGAGACCTATCGCTATACTCCACTACTAGCCATCCTTCTCCTTCCGAATGAGTGGCTGCACCCGTCATTCGGAAAGTACTTGTTTGCCGCATGCGATCTAATAAATGGCACCCTCATTTATCAAATTTTGATGTTGCATATCCTTCCCCATACCAAATCATTGGCACCAGATGTCTCCGCAGAGAACTCAAAACGCTTTATGCGTGCACATGCAACTCTCCTGGCGGCAACCCATCTCTTGAACCCTCTTGTATTCACTATCTCAACGCGTGGTTCTTCTGAAGCGATTCTCTGCACTTTTGTCCTCTTGACATTATTCTACACACTTGAACGTCGACAGAACGTTGCCGCCGTGATGCTGGGACTCAGTGCTCACTGGAAAATCTACCCGATCATATATGGGGTTAGCTGTGTCTCTGTGATTACCTCGCAGCGCGTCGATGGCAAAGGGTGGGATTTTGCGTATCTACGTCGTCTGGTTGGAAGACAGGCGCTTTGTTTCGCCCTGCTTAGTGGAGGGACGTTTATTATTCTCGGAGCAATATGCTACGCTATGTAAGTATCTGCATCATCTCCAAGCGCTGAACCTCACTCACTACCACAGGTGGGGATACCCCTTCCTGTACGAGGCATATCTATATCATACAGACCGGCGTGATCATCGGCACAACTTTTCTCCTTACTTCTACCTCATCTACCTCACGTATTCTAGTTCCGGAGGTACATCAGCCGACTTACCAATCTGGCGTCAGCTGCTCCGCTCGCCATTTACAAGTCTTATACCCCAACTGACGTTGTCCCTCGGGACCGGCCTCGTCCTTGGCCGACTCTCAGCCGGCCTTCCGTTCGTGTGGTTTGTACAGACGTTCACATTCGTGCTCTTCAACCGCGTGTGCACATCCCAATACTTTATTTGGTACACCCTCTTCATACCCCTACTTGTACCTCGCATCAACCTTTCGTGGAAAAAGTGGGTGATGTGTGGAGCAGTCTGGATGGGCACGCAAGCACTGTGGCTTGCGGAGGCATACAAGTTGGAGTTCCTCGGCGATGATGTGTTCTTTGGGCTTTGGGTCAGGAGTTTGGTTTATGTCGCTGGTCATGCATGGGTACTTGGGGTCATTATGAGTGGATATACACCCTTCGTATCATGTAACCAGCACACTCAGGCACCTGGGGTAGCGCTCATACGAACATGTACGGTGCCATCCTGGACGAGTAAACTCGTTAATCTACCAAGTGCTGATGCCACTCGGAGAGCGACTCACCTAGAATCTTTATTCTTTCCATTCTTCGCCAGCCGTTGCTCGCGCTTGGCCAACTCATATAATGCAATAACCTCCTCTACATCCGTAGAGAAGTATGAACATACCTGCTCCACCCCTTCACACCTTTCACTTCCAGCATATAATACATCAACATCCTGTCATTCCCGACTTCAGTGTCGCAGCGCTCGGAACGAGCGCCCCCTGCAGCATTCCTTCCATTTAACTTTCACTAAGCCTTCGTCACTAAACTCTCGATATTTACATCACCGCTGTCTTCCATGATCGTAGGTCAGACATGAGTTTCAAGTAGCTATTTGATCATTACTACCGTCTCAGAGTCCGTGTCAAGAATCTAAGTGTCCTGAGGGCCGGCAGTTGCTCTCCTCTTGTGATCTGAAAATGGTAAGCCAGCAGAAAATTACTCCATGAACGTCGAGTAGATCTCTGGCTTGAGGACTGCCCATAAGACAGATGGCGAGTGATTTATTCTAACGCTGTTCGTGATGCGCGGAACTCGGCTACTCCTGCGCCCACGATACCTAAGCCCGGTATGAATTTGAGAGAATCGTCGTTAGGCGTGGTCTCCATTTGCACGAACATGGAATGACCTGAACGTCGACGTACATCAATGATCCACATGAAGAAGGCAGAAACGAATAAGTGGCATACATTGTGGGGGTGCCACGCCAAACGATGGCGCAACTTCTGGGGCATGAATGCCCGAGACAGTTGCGAGAGTAGGTCCGCGATTTACTGCTGCAAGTGCAGAAGTGGAAGAAACTGATCTTATCCAAGACCGGAGAGCAGACTTGAAGGCGCGTTTCCAGGCAGAGCGCACGCACTGGATGGTGTATTTGGAGGTATATAGTTTATGGCCCTATAGCAATAGTTATTTAGTCGAAGTACCTAAGAGAAGTAGCTTGATGCAGATTATAGACAGCGTACAGGATGAATGAAAACATTCCCCAGTGTTTGAGAATAACCGCTGAGGTACAAATTGCGGCTGGCTCGATTTTGTAGTAGTGAAGTCACAATATCGAACCAGCGGCAAAGATGGAAGTATCTGAATTCAAACTTGGGCTCATGTACGTCGAGCGACGCACAAATGGTGATGAGCGCGGAGAAGAAGAAAGAATGGGGAACAAGTTCTCAAGCTCAGACTAAAGAATGAGCAGAACGAGACATGTGCTTCGCTAAAATCGAAGCACATATGGGCCCGCTTACAAAGGCCACGCGTCAACATCCAAGCTTTCAACGTCAACCGGGACCCCTGTGGATGCCACTACTGCCACTTTCACTGCTCGGATCACAGCTAAGTGTCTCGTCTCTCACTATGAAGACCAATCTTTTGAACCATTAGTCGCTCTCATCAAGACGTGCTGATCAATTCTCAAATATTTACTCAAGTCTGCCGAGCTAGTTAACTCCAAGGGTATGAAGCGTGAAGAATAGCATATGACGGTCCACAACGACAATAAAAGCAAAGGACAAGGGAGAACGGGAATTAGTGAAGGTCTACTAAATTCCCTCAATCACCAACCAAGGCGTAGGATCATATCTGAAAAGGTCATATATCAGTCAAAACGAGATACTTGAATGGGGGTACATACGTATTGTGAGAGCCATAGGAAGCCTGAGTGGATACGTCATTCAGTCATTTACGCACCAACCGTAACAGATTAGGCTACTCACCTTCGCCGTACCCTTGTCTCTGGACGACTGAACACATGAATATCTCGATGGGTCGGATGTCGTTCAACGGAACCTTGCCCTGCAACCATGCCACACCTTATCAGTAACTCTCCTATACCAATCAGATATAAAAACCCACCTTGCCGGTCGTTTGGTACAGCCCAAGGTGATGCCTCAATTCCTCCTCACTGACTGCGCCAGGAGCGTCAATCTTGTTGCCAAGAACTAGGAACGGAACCTTGGCCAGCTCCTCAATAGAAAGCAAAGCGTCAAGCTCAGCCTTTGATTCAGCGAAGCGCTCGAAGTCTGCAGAGTCGACCAAGAACACGATTCCATCAACCTCAGGGAAGTAGTCGCGCCAGAGGCGACGGGCTGAAACGCAAGTTGGTGTTCGGTAAACAGCCGAGGTCACGAGAAAGGGTAGTATACTGACCTTGCTGATGTCCGCCAAGATCGTACGTAGTGAATTTCACGTTTCCAATTGCCAGTTCCTCGGAGGCTGCAGATGCATAGCATTAAGGAAGGAAGAGCATTGAAAATGCAGAAGGCGTACTAGGGTGAAGGGTGGGTTGAAGGGTGGCCAGTCTGTCGTTTTTCAACATGTGCAGAAGCGTCTGTAAAATATGCCAATATGTCCTGTAAGGTTCGCACAAGTTACGCGCTGCTCACCGTCTTGCCAGCATTGTCCAGACCAAGGAAGAGAATTTTGGCGTTCTTGTGCATCAGCCCTAGAACCAAGTAGGTGAATAACACACAAAGTTGGGCCGGAAAGACTAACCAAGCTGAGCAAGAATGTCCCAGAACCAATTTACGATGAACATGGTGATTGTTGAGCAACAAGAGTGGACAACCGAAAGAGTCGCTCAATTTGGCACGTAGTCTTGCGTGTCCTGTGACAACATTCTGTGACACCACGCTGCTCCAATGTCTTCATCCTCTCAAAAGGCGCAAATCAAAGAGATAATCGATACGACCCAAGGATCTGACCTCGAGGATCGATGTTCTACCCCGGAACCCGAGGTTGATCATGAACAGGATGGTGCTATTACACCTCAAGCTTCATCATCCAAGCCAAAGAAGAAGAAAAAGTCCAAGGCTGCAAAGGTTCTCAACGCGGTGCGCGGCAAGAACGAAATACCACAAGAGCTCATCAGTCACGTCGTGGATCGCGTCGCTGCTGAGCACGGACCGAATACCCCAGCTACCAATGAAGACAATATCAGGCAAGCATTGGAGCAGATGAAGATCATGGATGTCATCAAAGGCAAATCAGGCATCGCTGGGCGAGGGAAGAAAGCTATGGGTGAACATAAGGTATGTACAATAACTCATGTATAAATGTGTACCATAAATTCAAGGATCGACATAGTTTTGGGCCACTCAGCCAGTCCCACAGCTTGGTATGCGTTGTATTATATATTTCAATTTTAAGACATACTAAGAGGTGGCTCTAGGTGATGATGAATCACTCGATGACGGTTTCATCGAACCCGACAAATCTCGAGAAGAAGTACGACAAGACGCATACCCTCTGCCGAAAGATTTCGAATGGTCCATATTAGACATTAATGACTCTAAGCAAGTATGCGTATCGATTGTGTCATGTCTTGTCTTTGTGACTTTCAATTCTACAGATCAAAGAAGTTTACGATCTATTATCTCTCAATTACGTCGAAGACGATGAAGCTGCATTCCGTTTTCAATACAGCGCCGAGTTTCTTGAATGGTAAGTTTATCAGTGCATAGTGGGACGTGCACCTGACGAACATCTAGGGCTCTCAAGCCCCCGGGTTACCTCAAAGACTGGCATATTGGTGTACGCGTGTCTTCGAACAAAAAACTGGTAGCTTTTATCTCTGGTGTGCCGGTTACGTTACGTGTGCGCGGAAAGTAAGACATCGACATCTTTATCGTGATGATTTCCAGGAACTTAAAACCACGCAGCGTTTTTCGGGCGTGCGAGATCAATTATCTGTGTGTGCACAAGAAGCTGCGCTCGAAACGCTTGGCCCCTGTGCTCATCAAGGAGGTCACACGACAAGTGAATTTAACGGGTGTCTTCCAGGCCATCTATACCGCTGGTGTTGTTCTTCCGACACCTGTGTCCACTTGCCGGTATGTCACCTCTCTGTATAGTTGGCGGAAGTGCTCAAGAGTCTATCAGTTACTTCCACCGTTCACTGAATATCCCGAAACTTGTCGACGTCAAATTTACGTACGTTCCCAGGAGCATGACGCTTGCTCGAATGATGCGCGTCTACAAATTGGTGGCTAAGCCTCAACTGAGCGGCCTTCGTGAAATGGAGGAAAGAGATGTCTCAGATGTTGCTGATCTCTTCACGCGCTACATGCAGAGGTTCAGCATGTTGCCAGTCATGACCCTCGACGAGATCCGCCATCAGTTTTTGAGTGGGAGAGGCCGTATGGACGAACCATCAGAGCATTATCGAAGACCAGGCCAGGTGGTGTGGACGTATGTTGTTGAGGTCAATTTCTTATTCATGTGCTTCCTGCTACTATTCTAATGCACACTATAGGAGGCAAACACCGGCCGGATTACCGACTTCTTTTCGTTTTACTCTCTTCCCTCGACGATTATAAATCATCCGAAACATGGGCTCTTGGAAGCTGCCTACTTGTTTTATTATGCATCTGACGCGGCGTTTGTTGAAGACTCAGAAGCGGACAACCTCAAGAAACGATTAGAAGCTCTTATAGGAGATGCACTGATCATCGCGGATCAGGCCAAATTTGACGTTTTCAATGCACTTACACTCATGGACAACTGTAGCTTTTTGGAGAATTTAAAGGTGTGTATCTTATCTATGAAAGGAACGCGGACAGTCCTTATGTTTTGTGGTAGTTTGGCGCCGGGGACGGTCTCCTTAATTTTTACTTGTACAACTGGAGAACAGCGCCTCTGGCAGGTATTTCAGCCGTTGATGGTGTAGAAGCAGGAAAGGGCGTCGGGGTTGTCATGTTGTAACATCAATGTAACATTACAGGCCCGACAATCTGCTCACTTTATGAATTACACATCCATCGTTCAAGTATCTACGTACAACGTCATCCTCTACACATTATGCATACGAACCATCGTCTGACCTTCTCCACCTTGTGGAATTAACTATCTTACAACTACCAATTCAATCACTGTCGATGTCGATCATGTCGTCATCGTCTACACCCCAGTCCGGCGTCGGACTGCGTCGCTTCGACTGTGCCGTCGTTTGTCGGGGAAGCGGTCTACCTCCAGAACCACCAAGATCACGCCCACGGAAGCTTGGTGGAATGTGGGTGGACCGAGAGGAATCTAGCGTATTGCCGGTGCCCCAAACCTTCTCGCTTGGTTGCGACTTTGCAGATGGTTTCTCCTTTTCCTTTCCTTTTGCACCTGGGGGTGATGTAACTGGCCGGCCCGTGAGGGTATTGCCCGAACCCGAGAAAGAGGGCTGAAGAAATTGTGAGATCGATTTGAGGAGGAACTATATTCAAAACTCACAGCTGAAGGACTAGGAGACGAAGGAGTCTTGGGTTCCGGTGGGGTGTATGGGACGACATTAAAACCAAAGAACAGTTTCCCGAATGGAAGATTGAGTGCAGCGGGAACCTTGACATCTGCTTCAGCGGAGCTGTTGTTGATAATCTTCTGTTGACTATTGAGATCGTTAGCACGCCTAGACGCAACCAGATTGCTTGAAACACACTCAGTCCTGATGATCTTGCTATCTCCCCCTACTGCTTCGACTCCCCGGTGACTGATACCCTTGCCTTTCGTCTTCCGACCAGCGAGAGTTTCTCCCTTGCCCTTGAAACTCTCCCAATGATCGCCACCTTTGCTTACAGCCGTTCCACCAGGAGCAACAAAACCACCACCTAGAGATGAAGACGGTCGTGAGGAACCGGGACTCGATGAATTGAGGTCGATCTTCAATTTGGATGCCATAGTGGAAGGCGGGGCAGGTTTCGGACGCTCAGGCTCTACGTAACCGACCGGGGGAGCAAAATCGACCTCTAGGTCAGTGTCTAGCACGTTTATGCCACCTCCACCGGGTGTCGCCTCCATCACAAGAAAGCCGAAGATTATTGAGTTGTAATATATTTCAATTATATCACCTTGAGTGAGTGCAGTGAAGTTTCTCAAAGCTTGCTCAAGCCTGATGGATGTTAGCTGAGCCAGTGATGCCAAAATACGTGCACATACACGGCTTTTGGATCTGATATTTCAAGGAAATGCGTAGATTGCGCCTGTAGCTTGACGAACTTGCCCTTCGGGAGTTCAGCGCCAGTTATGCGAATTGGGTCGCCTTCATTGAGACGCAACGTCTTCATCATCCAGTAAGGGAGATGGACTATTCCCTCTTCAGCTATAAACTCGAGTACACCTGCATGTGTGGATGCGGCTGGATTGGTCGCATTTGTGAGCTGAAACATCCAAGGTCCCTCGAGATCAAGGTGAGTCAAATGTGCAAGGGCTGATGGAGGCATGATAACTGCAAGAAGATCGTTACTACATAAATTCAGTGTACAATGAGATCCAATTACGCACTCTTTCCTCCGTAGGAGAGATTCTCTCGCTCCCGGCCAGGAAGCATCGCTACACTGTAGGCCTTCAAGTACACGTTATACGAACGAGGATTTGGTCGGTTAAGTCGAGCGCCCATAGGAACTCCAAATCCTCTGGAACGACATAGCTGCTGGTCAGGTTTCCTGACCCAATAGCCAAAGAAAGGCGGCGTACTGGGCGAACTGGGCGAAAAGACCCCCTGGGCCACCTGCCATGCCATCCTGATCGTCAAACTATGAGAAATGATCAGATGTCTTGATCATTTCTGTTGTTAGATCACCCACGAAGTCCATCTGAAACCGAGATCGTGAAGTGAGAGAGTGGAGTAGCTAGAGTCGACGGTACTTTCAAGTCAAGCACACGCATACCCAGCGGCGGCAAACCCCGTGACTACTACTAATTTAGCGATTCTGGTTTTGTCTACGCGCATCGTCTACCGCTTAAAATCTACTGAGCCTTCGACGAAGTCAAAATGGCATCAAAGATCGCACCAGCAGCATCTCAAGCAGCTCGTACGGGCTCAAATGCCGCGTTCAATGACAAGGTATTAGTCACTCATAATCGCGATGACTCGATGGAATGAACGCGTCCACAGGTCAAGCCAATGGAACTTCGGATGTCTAACTTGGTCGCCGCTAAAGGTACGTGAAGAGTTTATTTGCGATCGTTTCGCATGCTTGACTTTCTCGTAGCCATCAGCGATGCTGTTCGAACATCTCTTGGTCCAAGGGGGATGGACAAAATGGTATGGGGCTTGATGTTACTTCGTTGATGGTGAAGCGATGTCATATTGCAATTCATTTGCGTAGATTCAAACCTCGAAGGGCGAGGTCATCATCACCAACGATGGAGCAACAATTCTACGGAGTATTCAAGCTCTACATCCTGCTGCCAAGATGGTGCGCGCCGAGCCGTGATGCTTGCTGATCACCTACTTACGTCATTTTAGCTGGTCGACCTCTCAGCTGCTCAAGATGTGGAAGCAGGTGATGGAACAACATCGGTCGTTGTTCTAGCAGGTAGCCTTCTCGGGGCCGCGGAAAAGATGCTGCAGAAAGGCATACATCCAACCATCATCGCAGAGTCGTTTTTGAAAGCATCGGTGAAAGCTGTCGAATATCTCACGGAGATATCGACGCCAATTGATCTCAGTGACAAGACCAGTCTCCTCCGAGCAGCAAGCACTTCCCTGAACTCGAAGGTGCTGAGGATTTCTGAAGTTATCGTGGTAGTGCTTTGCTGACGCGCACTTCATCAGATCGTCTCTCAATATTCATCGACACTTGCTCCCATCGCAGTGGCTGCTGTAACGCGTTTGGTTACACCTCAATCGTCCACTGTAGACCTTCGTGATGTCAGGGTTGTGAAGAAAGTCGGTGGCACTATCGAAGACACTGAGCTTGTAGATGGTGTTGTCCTCAACCAAAATGTCATTGTCTCAGCTGGCGGTCCTACTCGCATGGAGAAGGCCAAGATTGCCATTATCCAGTTCCAGCTCAGTGCTCCCAAACCTGACGTATGTGCTTATCACCCCTTTCGTTTCAGTTCTCATATCACCTTATTAGATGGATAACACTGTCGTGATCAATGACTACCGGCAAATGGACAAGGTCATCAAAGAGGGTCGTCAGTACCTGCTTAACATTTGCAAAAAGATCAAGAAGGCGAATTGCAACGTCCTGCTGATCCAAAAGTCTATCCTCCGTGATGCAGTCGACGATACGTCCCTCAGCTTCCTTAAGCGTCTTAATATCCTTGCAGTCAAGGATGTTGAGCGTGACGAGATCGAATTTCTTTCCAAGAGCCTCGGATGCAAACCTATTGCCGACATCGAGGCCTTCACAGAAGACAAGCTTGGCTACGCAGATCTAGTCGAAGAGACTTCAAATGCCGGTATCAAAGTCGTCAAGATCACTGGCGTGAAGAACCGTGGGCGCACAGTCAGTATTCTGGCTACGGGTGGCAACAACCTTGTTGTGGAGGAATGTGAACGCAGTCTGCATGATGCTCTTTGTGTTGTCCGGTGTCTCGTAAAGAAACGGTGAGACTCAAGTGTCCCATTTCTACGGGTCAAGGTTCTGATCTGATAAACAGAGCGCTCATCGGCGGTGGTGGTGCACCAGAAATCCACGTCTCCCGGCTGTTGTCTCAATACGCACAGTCACTCAAAGGCATGGAAGCCTATTGCTTCCAAGCATACGCAGACGCATTGGAAGTGATACCAACGACGCTTGCGGAGAATGCTGGACTTAACCCGATTGCTATTGTCACGGAATTACGCAACCGACATGCTCTAGGTGACCGGAATGCTGGTATCAACGTCCGCACAGTAAGTAGTTGCAGCCTTGAGTTGTTTCGATTATTTGACTGCATACACCTTAGGGCCTAATCTCGAATATTCTTGAGGAGGATGTTGTTCAACCTCTTCTCGTCTCCACGAGCGCGATTGAACTTTCGACAGAGACTGTGTGTTTGCTTTTGAAGATCGATGACTATGTACAAGCAAGATAATGAGACCTTCTGACATTCTAATAGACATCGTTGGTTGTCTTCAAGTGTAACAATGATGAACTCGGCCAATTAGCATTCATTCATTGATGCACGCTCGAGTAAGTTCCTTCGTGCAGATGTGACTGCGGTTGCGACAGTGGTAAGATGCCAGAAATGAACAAAAATACTAAGACTATTAATTACGATGCAAAAATAATGCCAGAACCGTGGATTGAACACGGGACCTCCAGAACTTCAGTCTGTTGCTCTCCCAGCTGAGCTATTCCGGCTTGAACGTTGTCGGGGTTTCTGGGATGTTAACCGGTAACCGACCTAGAAAGGAAAGGTACTGCCGCTTCTATTGTCCATTACTTGCCTTCAGCACTCCGCACAACAATGTCTGGAGCAGGTCCTAGGGAGAATATCTTCGCTACGCGTATGGCCTTGACAAACACAAAACTCCGTTTAAAGGGAGCTGAAACTGGGCATTCGTTGCTGGCAAAGAAGCGTGATGCCTTGACCACGCGATTTCGTGCAATACTGAGAAAGGTGGATGAGGTGTGTTACGCTACCTGATGTTACCCGTCCAAGTTGCTGACGATCAAATGATAGGCGAAGCGGAAGATGGGTAGAGTGATGCAGTTAGCGTCGTTCTCGATGGCAGAGGTCACGTATACTACGGGAGATATTTCCTATATCGTGCAGGAGCAAGCGAAGCTTGCCACTTTCCGTGTCAAAGCGAAGCAGGAGAACGTTTCTGGTGTTCTCCTCCCGGGATTTGATGTTGATCGTGTTCCAGGATCTGGTAGTTGCTTTGGAGCTTCTATACATTTTTATTCTAATGTTCGCGTCACAGATTTTAATCTGACAGGTCTTGGTCGGGGAGGCCAACAGGTTCTACGAGCGAAGGAGGTGTACGCTAAGGCTCTCGAAACGCTGGTGGAACTTGCGTCGCTACAAACGGCGTTCACCATCTTGGACGAAGTTATTCGCGCGACAAACCGACGAGTGAACGCCATTGAACATGTAATCATTCCGCGGTTGGACAATACCATCAAATATATCATAAGTGAGCTAGACGAAATGGATCGCGAGGAGTTCTTTAGGTGAGCGCATCGAGCCTCCTGGTCAAGTTTAGACACCGATGATGCTTGTAGACTTAAGAAAGTCCAAGGCAAGAAGAAGAGAGATGCCGGGAAGGCAGAAATGCAAGCTATAGCTGCTGAGGAGGGACTGTTGGAACAGTTGGATGCATCACAAGAACCAATAGTGGACTTGCTCAGTACCAAGGACGAGGATGTCATTTTCTGATCCATAGTCAGTGCCGCATTGTACTATTTGTGTTCTATGCCAGCTGCAAAGGTAACTTGGATCAATCTGTACACTATGGCCTGATGTGTAGCCGTCTCAAAGTATAATTGGAGGGTCATGGTGCATATCATGTGCGATAGTGCGCATAGATACATGGTGGTTTTGTGAATGCAACAAGGAAAGCCGAGGACAATCAATACGCCTACAGGAAATTACTGTAAGACGGGACGAGTCAGTTTTTATGGCTACTTGTCAAATTTAATGATGGTCACTTACGTCCACCATCTCGACATCCTCAGTGGCGGCGGGTTGTGCGGTCTTTGATCTGTCTTTGCGGTCAAGAATTGCCCGACTAGTGGAAAGAACTTTAGGACGATAAACATAAACAAAACGTGAATTGCCTACCGATCCTTGTCAAGCTTGATGGTTGTGATCACGACTTTGCTGGGGTGGATACCGATGGGAGAAGTAGCACCGTTGGATTTGTCGCGTTGCACACGGTCAACATGAATGACCCATTTCTTGCGGTACACCTGAGTAACCTTTCCTTCCCGACCCTTGTATTTCCCCCGCAAAATCCGTACTTCGTCATCCTTGCGGATCGGTAGTGACCGCGTCTAGTGAATAGTATAAACACCCCGCGCCTCGTTTCTTAACAGATCCAACGTACGTTGTATTTCGCCCGAAGTTCTTTGGATAGGGATGACGACATAATCTTGCGGCGCACAGAGGAGGGTGCGCTGAAATGGGCCTTGCGGTTCTTGCGCCGCGAAGAGGAGACGTCTGTTATGTAGACTCATTCGTCAGTAAGTTATTCACCCAACAGATCTCATCCAAGTCTCAGAGTCTCCATCCAACTTCTCCTGTGCACAAAATTTCACTCCGAGGTGCATAGACAGGTAGAATGGACACCAGCGAGTACAAAGACAGCACTGACCAGGGTTATACTTCATCTTGATCTTGAGGAGGACGTCGATAACGGTGTCGGGCAGTTCAATTTGGGTGTATGGAACGAATTGTTTGGTTCAAAGTTTGCGCGTCGGCTTTTGCCGGATATACCACGGTATGAATGCAGGGTTCCTCACCTGCACACAGTTCGCCGCGTGTAGTCGATGGAGAAAGTTCGGTCCACGCAGCTCAAATTCAAAGGAGACAAGATAAAGAAGAAGCGCAAGAGAGAACACCACGATGAAGGTTCCTCCAGCAAACGTGTAGACGAAGACGAGGACCCGGAAACCTGGGTTCTACCGGAGAATGCAGCAGAAATTCGCGGGCCTACTTTCATTGTACACCCTTCTGATCCTTCGCCCATATCAGTGAATTTTGATTCTACAAGAAACAAGATTATATTGTCATCTCTGGACAAGGACTCGACATCTGATACCCCGCCATTACTTGATCGCACACCTACAGAGGTAGCTCAGGTCTGGGTTACAACGCGCGTCGCGGGATCGGCTACTATCAACCTTCGGACGGGCACTGGCGAAGGAAAGTTTCTGTCTTGTGACAAGCATGGTATTGTCAGTGCTTTTAGGGAAGCGCGAGGGCCCGAGGAGGAGTGGACACCTGTTCTTTTACCCGATGGCATGGTAGCCTTCATGAACGTGTATGAAAATTATCTCAGTGTTGACGAGGTCGCAGGAGGTTCGCTCCAGCTGCGAGGCGACAGCGAAGAAGTCGGGTTTCGGGAGCGGTTTTGGTTAAAGATCCAGAGCAAGTATAAGAAGGAGGCGCATGAGGAGAAGAAGAAAAGAGAAGCAGGCTCGGAGTTGACAGTCATAGATGAAACTTCCACCAAGTACGTTTCACTTACAATGAACCGGTTTGTGATCTGAAAGATCCCAAAGTCATGTTCACCAAGCCTGGGGAGCTGGTCGTTCGGTAGTGTCGAAAGAGGATAGGAGAGAGGTTCGTTGATATTCATATTTTATACAATTATCAGTAACATTCTAAATAATGTATCAGCTCAAGCGTGCACGCAAAGAGGGTCGCTTGGCAGAGGCGTTGCTGGACCGACGAGCGAAGTTAAAAAGGCTTGTTCTGATCCATTCTGAATGCATCTCTCATCTGATTTTACCACAGTGATCGATTTTGTTGAGACCTTGTGCCGAATTATTAATTCATCTTTTATGCATGTCGGACTCGTGTACTGTCTAGTGTACTTTTATTTTTATTCGCGGGGCATTTCCCGTGACGCTCGCGCGCGTGTCGCATCAAAGGTGGAGTAAAGCGGGGTGTATAAGACATCTCCCTTTGTGTTATCATTTCATCGCCAGCCTCAGACATGTACACAGAACTTGTCTTTATCTCTCAACCCGCGAGACAGTGTCAGGGTGTCCGGGATGTCAGAATAGCATCCAAGATGGATCCACGACAGTGGCAGAGACTGCGTGTACGTGCTATACAATTTCTGAATACCTGGTTGGCTGATTTTGAGAGAAAGACTCTCGTCATAGATGCAGCCGCCAGATTTCTCAATATACAAGATAGATATGAGCATCAGGACCCCGAAATGGTTCGTTTGTTCTACCAGGCGGTGAGCTTCAATCGAATCTTCTGCTGCACTGCTTCATTACTCCATCCTTTGTCTCAGGTTCACGCTACGTGGCCCGAGGTTTCAGCAAAATATCCGAACTCATGGGTTCTGGTTCGGTACTTAAAGATATATTTGTTGAAACGAGTATATCGGAAACGGTGGTATGACCGTAAAGTCGCTCGTGAGAGGGCTGGCAGCCAAGCCCGACAACAGCCCAGACGCCTTCGCACAAAAGTATGCTCTGTACTTTGTATCGCCAGATAGTTAGATTCTCAAAACGCCCCGCAGAACACAAATCAATCGTCCGTCCGTCAACTCGATACCGGTGCTTCACAAGCCTGTGTAGCCTCGAGAACTCGAAGGAGGGCTACTGCCTGTGATCGACCTGCCTCCCCATCTGGTCCAGAAATTACGGCGTCACCCACAATGCATTGCTCTCCTGTCATCGCTTCCCAACATAGCGGGAGCTCATCTTCTCTCGCCTCAGCACACTCGCACAACATAGTACCCGTTCAAAGCTCTCGCGCAGTTTTTCGTTTTCTTGATTCCATGACACCCAGTCTGGTAAAACTTGTTCCGGATTTCCTTTCTGCTGGGATTCATGATCAGAACCATCTGGAGGACTTCTTTACGTGGCCCGAGAAGGCTCAACGTAACTTTCTTCTCAAGACATTTATCGGAAGAATGAACGCGTTGGAGTTGGGAACAATGCTAATAGCGTTGAACTCTAAACGATGTGGTTAAGTTGATGCTACAGTAGCTATTGCTCCACATTCAACTTGTTCCTCGATTACAACTTTGATGTCAGTTACGACAGCCTTACGAGACCTTGCGGTATTTCTTTCTGAAGTAGTGGCTGTGTAGCTTCTGATTTCAACAACGCCAAACAAGAACTTAGCATTTGTAACACTAGCACTTCGTACTTAGTACACGTCCGTGACATTCTATTACACCGCAGCACTAGGGTAATTCTATCCAGTCATCCATCTTCTAGGACGTTAAATATAATATGGGAGTCGAATCACTGAACGATGAGACCATGTCAGTGACACCCGAGGTGGTTCCATTAACCAACGGTCTTTCACCCCAGAGCTTATTGCTGCTTTCTTTGGCGCTTGTCGTGGGTTTACTTGTTGGTGCGTTTCAACCGACATTATTCTGAAAGACATTCTTACGCTCTGAAGTTATCACATTCTCTCGAAGAAAATCAAGGTCCAGAGGTACTGCACTTATCCTTGTCGGGCCCTCAGATGCTGGCAAAACAGCAATTCTTTCCACTGTTTGTGATTTATCAATGCAGTTACATCGGTTGTTCATCCGTGAATAAATTGTATCTAGCTCGCATTTACTGGAACGCTACCATCGCACACGTCACTGCAAGTTAATACTTCTATCATGCCTCTCTCGCCAGTAGGCATCTTGCCGGTTATCGACATCCCTGGGCATCCTCGAATCAGAGATCAATTCCAGGAGCACTTAGTGAATGCCAGAGCGGTTGTTTTCGTAGTGGATGCAAGTACCATATCACGCAACGGATCTACAGTAGCAGAGTGGGTATATCTGACTCTTTCATGATCACAGTAGTTCTAACGAAGTGCAACGACTAGACACCTCCATCATGTCCTCAATTCAATAACGTCACTTCCTCCTTCACATTTATCACCCGCACTCCTCATCCTCGCCAATAAGTGCGATCTCATGAAGACAGCTACTTCTTCAGGCTCTCCCACCGAGGTTGCCATCTCACGCGTCCGAACGATTCTTGAACGTGAGCTGGAGAAGCGACGAGAGGCTCAGTCTAGCGGCATGGGGGTCGAAGGCTTGGGCGCTGAAGGAGAACGTTCGGATATGGGAGGTTTAGATTGCAGTGGTCCTGGCGGAATTTTCAAGTTTGCCGATTGGGAAGGTGGAGAAGTTGATTTCGCAGGAACGTGGGTAAATGTCGGAGAGCTCAAGGATGATGAAAAAGAAGGAGTGGCTACTGACGGCCTGGCTTCATTGCGCAGTTGGCTGGGAGCAACTTTTACTATGGCCTAACTCTCGTGACCGTAATTTTTTTCTGATACAAGATACTCTAAACTTGGGCTCGAATTCTGGGATGGTCCATTAGCAGTTGAACTCCATTGGATTGATTATCCAGTGCGGTGACTCAGACTCTGTTGGATTTGCTTTCAGGGGTGTTTTGCATAAGGTAAGATGTAAGGTACCTGGAGTACACAAGTACAAACAAACTGATGGTATAAAATCCTCGAACAATTTTTGGTTGACCCTTCACCGCAGCTTTTTAGACAGTGCCCGTTCTGCCATTATTCAGAAAGAACGATGGCGATTCGGTAATGCGAAGAGTACTTCGGATAGGATTATGAACGCACGCATCTTATTTGTATGGTGTAGTGGGTGTCAGACCTCTCCAACATCTCGTGCCCATCTTCGTTTATGTAGTGCTTGTATAGATCATCGGAGTCTGGACACTGTACTATACGTGCCCGTCGCACCATGCAATGAAATTCTTTATAAGAAACAGACAGATGTGAATAGCTCAGGTGACATGGTTGACATCCAGAGCTAGTGCACCAACTTGAACGCGGTGCAACTTGCTCAGTACTGTAACTTGAACAAGTGTGGACGACACTAAAAGAGCAATATAGACTTCTACAGGAACATAGATCTAATATATATCGCCCATGGACGCCATCTTAGATTTAGAAAACATCTATCGATCAAAACTTCGTCTCCTTCTCTTCACTCGCCTGCTGGTGGGTGAACTTGCATCCTCCTCCGAGTCAACCGAGCTTAGGTCATCCGAGTCATCCTCCAGCCAACTCGGGTCATCATGTACGGCAGCGATGACAGTGGCAGCAGCGGCTATAGCAGCTACAGCAACACCCATCAACTTGAGTTTTCTCTGCACCTCAACTTCGTTCCGAGTCTCGCTATGTTTTCGTTTGGATGACGACGACGATACCAACGCCGAGGTACCCACATCCATGATAGATGTAGCAGGCGTCGGTGGTTCGATGCCGAACGAAGAGAATGCTTTCAGATCCGCGGTGAAAAGCACCTAAGCAAAAGAGAATGAACAACTTGAAAAAAGAAAGGCAACTTCGAATAGATACGTGCAGAATGGGCCCAACCGGCATATTCACCCCAAATGTCGGCAAGCTTAGTAGCCACTTCATCGTAGATTCGGGGGGTCATGACACCTTTTCCTTTGGAGCCGCCTATGGTGCGCAGCCCATAATGCTTGATAGCAATCTGGTAAACGTGAGTGTCCACTGGAATTACTTCTTTCTAGGAGGCGTAGATTTAGGATCGGAAGTAAGCGTAACTGGGGTCGACTGACTTTGTCCAAGCTCATGAGAAGAACGCAGTCTGCTACCTTGCGTCCTACGCCAACAAACTTCAAAAGTTCTTCACGAGCAGCTTCGGTACTCATGTCTCTCAATCCGGTCAACCACTCTTCGCAGTTCTCTCGTGACTCCGAGTTGGACATCGAGGAACCGTGAGTATCCACAAGCATTTTCGCAGTGCGCTGAATATAATCAGCACGGTAGCCAAAGCCCAAACCCCGAAGAGTGGACTTGACTTCAGGAACAGCAAGGAGAGAGGGCGGGGGAAAGGGGTGATACGCCGCATGATCTTGGGAGTCACTTTCACTGATCTCGGGAGGTGGCAAGGAAATCAGGGAAGGAGAGTACTGTTTGCAAAGAGCGTGCACCATCTTGGTGATCCGGGGTATGTTATTGTTAGAAGAGCAAATGAAACTGGCATGACAAAAACCTGTTAAGCCTCCGGGCCAGTTTAGAAGTAGGCTACGCACGATACCAGGTTCTCCCAAGGATCTTGTCTCAATATCCGGATTCCAGAAAAGCGAGATCTAAGGTTATTAAAGACTTGATCTCGGTCACTCCACTGGTCGTAAAGCTTCACCAAGTCGACGTCGAGCTGAAAATAGTCCTTGAGCCAAATCAACGTTTCTTCGTCGCTAACTCTCTCCTGTTCTGCAGAGAGATGCCCTCCCGGAAAAAACAGAGCGATAGAAAAGATAGTCGGAAGACTGTCTTAAGCATACTACACGGTCCCTCAAGCACAGACGGTACTCGTGAGTAGGAAATGATTCTGTATCAGAAGACGAGGGTAGGGGGTAACATGTCCAACGAAATGACTGGCCACATTTCAAAACAGCTGCTAGAGAGAGTTGTATGGCTGACAGTGGCAAGGCATGAAACCCAGCAGGAATTGGGGAAGCCATAATTAAAGTCGCTAGAAAGTTAAGCAGACTGTATCTTTGTCAAGCGTCGAAGCACAACTGAGATAACTCTCAAGGAGGACGCGAGTGTGTGACTAGTAATTAAATATCGTGGTTTTCCCCTGATATGCAGACGTGGTCGAGTCTGGTCACGGTCAATATTAATTTGAGTCGAGTCGCGAATTCACAGCCACCGCCATATTCGCTTCATCACTAACACTAACTTATATGCCTTCAGAAGGAGATACGTTTCTTCCCAGAATACAAAGCGTGTTCTACGCTGTATTCGATTTACAGAAGGGACCAAAAATCGTGTATCAGGTTCCAGAAGGTCTCATCACAGGATCGACAGCAAATCAAAACTCTAATCATTCAGTCACCTCTTCCCCTTCACCGTCGATAGCTGCCATTTTGGAACCGGACGTAACGCCTTCGCCAAGGTCAAGTCCTTCTGTTAATTCTCATGGTGGTCGACGTGCGAGTTCTCTCAACGTCCCTTCGCCTCATCAACGCTCTTCTTCCTCCAGTCGTGTTCTGTTCAATTTCGACGACATCTCAAAGTATGTGATACCTCCTGGAGAGCTTTGCGGGCGGCTGGTTATTTGCGCTACTCGGAAATACCGTATCATGGGCTTTCCTGTTTTGCTTCCTGGCAATTACCAGCGGAACTACTTCCAGTACAACGTCTGCTTTGTCTTCGAGCGGTCTGCAGATTTAAGTTGCTATGAACCAATAGTTCGCAAGGTCAGCCGTGTACTGACGGCTTGCGAGGTCAGCTCTTTACCCTACACGACAAAACTCCGTGTTTATGAAATTGTAGGAAGAGTCATTTTTTCTTTCCTGTCCAAAATCATCGCCAGCCATGCATGCCATCCTCGAGCAGCTATACGAGGATCTGAACTCTTATTCTGAAACATCGATTCCAATTGATGCCTTCAACTCAATAGAGCTGAAGATATTTCCTTTTTATCCTAATCCACCCCCAGTAAAAGATTGGCAGGTGCCTCTGGCTCTTATCAACTTGTCTAAGCGTATAGAAGATAATTGGGATCTGACAATGAATAAGGTAGGCCGAATTTGTTTATAGACCAACTGTCCTGACAGGTATGCATCGAGGTGTGCAGACATATTGATGGCGTGAATCATGTCAGTCGTATCGCACACCTAGCCGACTGTGATATCGAGCTTACCCGCCAAGCAATATCTCACTTGCTGTAAGATATTTCACCCTGACCTTCAATTCCATCCTCATCAGATCTTGCAGTTACTATCAAGTCATCATGACAGTCGACATCTTTCAATACTCTAATATGTACACTCTTCGTAAGAATGTGCAGTGGCTTGCAGATGAGTGCCATGTCAAGGACGAATGTGGACCATATGTCACGAAGCATGCACCTGGTTCGTACATTCCTTCCACGGAAATGCCTAACTCATCTGTAGAGCAGGAAGAGTGGTACCGGATTGGCCCAAACTTCTGCACTTATATTCGCGACTTAAGTCGGGGAAAACGGTACTGGATTGGATGGAGACCTACAGTGTCTCTGAACTTGGCATTGATGCTCGACGTTTCACAAGTTTCGGGGTGATCAAGGTATTTCCCAGCAATTGTTCTATGTTCTTGAATTTGAAGTCCTTCAGGGGTTTCTACGACGGGTGCATCGTTGGCCGATTTTACTTCCTGCGGATGTACCGTCACCAACTCGCAGAAGAAGGCACAGCCTCTCTTCTTCCGCGTCGAACGCAAGTCCTACAAGTTCTTCGGCTCCAATTGGGGAGACCCCTCGATTTAGTGGCCGTCCCGATGCATCTGGTGTTGCACCTATACTTGGTTCTCCCATAAACCAGATAGAGGTCACACGAGCCCAACAACGAACGAGCGCAGCGGAGAAGGTTCTCGAGCAGCTACGTTTCAAAACACTCCCGCGGGCCGGACCCAACCCTACCATGCGGCAACCTCCTCTTTCCCCAGAGGGCCCTGAGCGCAATCCCGAGCGCCGTAGCCGTGTCTCGTCTGATACCCGAAGACATTCAACTTATCAACAGCCCACGAGTCATGTGCCACCACCATCTAGTGTTGCTGGGAGTCAAAGCATTGCGCACCGTCATTCATCGGAATCGCAGAACGCATTTCCTGCAAGACCACGACTAACACGGTCCCCTTCTACTTCTCGCACTCGCGCCCTAAATTCACAGGGCTCTTCGGGTCCAATGAATACTCCTCCACCCCCTGAATTGTTGCCACTTCTCGATGGAGATCATCATACAGACGAACTCTGTACGCGCTTCGAAGTTGGATGGCCTCAGCTACAGCAATGGCTGGTGACTATTGGAGGTGGAAAAGGTGACGGAGATGAAGATTTCGGGAGAGTGTCCATTATTTATCGTTGATGTGTCTGTCATACGCATCCATTGCACAACATCCTTTGATAATTTTGGTGATGTCTTCATGTTTACTTTTCTATCACGACGGAATTCCAAACGAAATTCTCGAACAAGAACTTTGTTATCAAGAATTTTGTCTAGAGTTTCGTGTGGAGATTTTGTGATTGATGGTGATCGATCAATCTAACACACAATCCATAGCATGGTATTATAGAGTATGAATACATATACTTTTGCTGGACAGCTTGCTACGCCAGAGACCGGTTCACATTCACGTAGCCAGTCCCAAGACATGAGTAGAGCAACTCGGTGTTGGAGGAATCTGTGGGATCTACGGGTGTGATGTTGAAGACGGAGCCGAAGAAGATCTTGATATCACGGAGAAATTGAATGCTGTCATAAGGTGAGCGATAGAGGCAGGAGAGTCGATCGTCACGCACGTTCTAACGGAGGGCTCTCCCATCCTACATTGACCGATATCTTCACTACCTAGAACCATCATCAACAGGACTAGAGATTGATGTTTTCTATCAACACATCCTCCATGTCTAATCTCTGACAAAAGGGCCCTAGTTGCTAACAGAGCTATATCTTCGGGAGTTTCACCTGGTGTGGATACAGCTTCGGAACAATGTATGGCAGACGTAGTGGATTCCGCGAGTAAGCTTAGTGCATATCCCGGCGACCTTCATGCAGGATTAGTAGAGCAGAAGTATGTTTAATTAGCCCACATACTTTCCGCTCTCATCTCCTTTGTAAACGTCGGAGTACAGGTAGATGTCGGGGATGAAGCGGTTAAGAACCGAACGCGATGCATCAATCATACGATTAGAGAACTGCGGGTTAACACGGACGGCATGTCTGGGAGAATACTTCAGTGTGGTATGTCTTTCATGAAAAGGCAAGATGAACGCACGCAATGCCTCGGATTCGTTTAATCTTGCCAGGATCAACAAAGTTCAGAGTTTTGACTTCTTTTACAATAGGACAGAGGAACTGCACTTCCCCTCCACCTTCTGGAGGAGCACCACGTCTCTTTATCTGTACAGGCATATGACGGCGCAATTTTATGGATCGGACAACTCGCTCACCCGAAGCTCCAATCCATCAGAGATACCGAAAAGTTGGAGATGAGGTAGTGTCACAGTACGGATGAGGTCAACCTAACACCGTCAGGAAGTATTTTATTCCGACGGGATTTTACTTACAGAAAGATCATTTTCATCTGTTGTTATACCTCGCAAGGTCAACTGAAACGGCTTCTTTGAGAAGGGCGCGATCATTATCAGCGGCTCCAAAAAATAGCCTATTGAACGCGACAGTGGACAATCATGAGTAATAGGACCGCCGGACACAACTCCCGGTTTGAGAAGCACAGCGGTACCTTGAAGGCAAATGAATGAGTTCCAGCGTAACGGACAGTAAAGTAGCTCGTACCGGTCACTGAAATTTCAATTACGGACCCGTTAGTGACTTTTTCCAGCAGCCGCAGGAGGCTGACCTCGTAGTCTGAGTGATGGCACTACTCGTCAAGAAACGCCAGGCTGCAAAAAGCTGAACACACCTCTCAGACCAGGATCCTTATCCTCAGAGCGAATTTTATCAATTCGAACATTCTTTCCGGTGAGAATGGAGAGCACTAGACGTTGTCGCAAATATTGGTGTCCACTGAAGTTCACCAATGATCTTGGCTCCATGGATGTAAACCTGGAAGAGACTTTTTCATTACGTAAGGAAATATTGATCCTAGTAGGCGCCTCGTTGACAGCTGCTGGCACTGGGTCAAACACAGTTCGACTCCCCTTTTCACTCTTCTCAATGGCTGCGGAAATACATGTGAACGGTGCAGCGACTTCAAGCGACTGGCAAGACCGATATTACCATGTTGACCAGATCCTTGACAGACCTGGCCCTCGGACTGATCCATCATTCCTGGCTGGGGATGAGGTGAGTATCCCACAGTTTTAAGACAACTCATCTTTAAAAGATGCTTCAAAGGTGAAGGACTTTTTGCGGAACAAGTGCAAGATTCTCGTCATCGGCGCAGGTGGTTTAGGATGCGAGATACTCGCCGATCTTGCTCTGACTGGGTTCAAGGACATCCATCTTATCGACATGGACACCATCGACATTAGCAATCTCAATCGTCAATTTCTCTTCAGGTATGTCATATTTATGAGATGGCATGTGTGTGCCGACCTAGGGATCAATTTCCTTAAGACCCGCGGACGTTGGAAGACCGAAGGCTATCGTTGCTGCAGAGTATGTGATGAAACGGGTGCCAGGAGTCAAGGTCACTCCGTAAGTTTGCAATTTCTTGCGCACGGGGCGCACCATCTCTGATTGCGAGGCGTGCAGGTACTACGGCAAGATACAAGACAAGGACGACGATTATTATTTGCAGTTTAACCTCGTCATCTGTGGTCTAGATTCTGTGGAAGCGCGTCGGTGGATAAATGCTACTCTCGTTAACCTAGTGGATCCTGAGAATCCTGAGAGTTTGAAGCCCCTGATAGACGGTGGTACCGAAGGTGAGTAAGTATCTTTTACCTCTTTGCGACCTCAATAGCTGTGAGAAGGTTTTAAGGGGCAAGCTCGAGTCATTCTTCCGACTGTATCCTCATGCTACGAGTGTTCCCTTGATATGCTCAACAAACCAACTACATTCCCTATCTGCACCATCGCGAACACACCTCGTCTTCCTGAGCACTGTATAGAATGGGCCTCTGTGCTCGAATGGCCTCGTGTGCGCGGAGGTCAGTCTCGTTGTACATCCCATTTTTCTTCTATTTCACATGAAAGTAGATGAGAAACTCGACACTGATGACCCTGAGCACATCGGATGGTTGTATTCAATTGCTATTGCTCGTGCAAAGGAATTCAAGATTGAAGGCGTGACTTGGTCACTTACGCAGGGTGTTGTCAAGAATGTCATCCCTGCAATCGCATCCACCAATGCCATCATTGCTGGTATGTCAGCACCCACCCTTACTCGATCTGTCTGATGAGAGCGTTCGTAGCTTCATGTTGCAATGAGGCTTTCAAGATTGCAACAAGTTCAGCGGCTTATCTGAACAACTACTTCATGCTCATTGGGACCGAAGGAGTATATTCGTACACCTTTGAGCATGAAAAGCGCGATCATTGCCCTGTTTGCGGAGGTGAAGCCCTGGAGATGTCCATAAGTCGAGATTGGACTGTTGAGCAGCTCATTGAACTGTTGACTGAGAAGCAGAACATGTATGTATTCCTTCCTCATTGACATCTATGGCTTATCCTAGCGTAGTCAGATTAAGAAACCTTCTCTCGCAACACCGGAAAAGCCGATTTATTTCCAACAGCCACCCCAGCTGGAAGAAGCTATGCGCCCGAACCTAGAGAAGAAAGTCTCGGAACTTGTCCCTGATGGTGGAGAAGTTGTGGTCACTGCTTCGACTCTGCCTTTCAGCTTGTCACTCATCGTCACTTACACGTGAAGGCACAGTATCTTATATTTCTGCATGGTTATCCACATTGTAGCAGTAGACATTCAAATGCAAGCATCATCACAGTTTTTTCACGAGTGATCCTACCTCCAAGTCAGGCTTATGGTCCTGCGCTGTAGACAAATACGAAAGAAAACACTCATTGCGCCAACATTGCGATCAGTGCTGACAACTGCGATTACGTAACATTATTGGTCTTCGAGTGAACTTCATCGACGTCGTTGCTTATATCCTAACACTCTCATTCACCAAATAAGATGCCCAAGGCAGATATCAACAAGGCAGGTTGGGAGCAAAGTGAATTTCCTATTCTTTGTGAAACATGTACGCTGTTATTTATCAAACCTGATTAGACCAGAAACTAACGCACTTGACCAGGTCTGGGACCTAACCCGTTCATCCGAATGGTCAGTCTTGAGTTCTGTGACCAACACAAAATACTGACCAGCTAGCCTGATGATTAGTCGAAACAAGAGTTCGGTCGCTCGTGTGGCACATGTGCTCGCCCATTCACAGTTTTCCGATGGAATCCAGGCTCCGGCGCACGGTACAAAACCACTGTGATATGTCAGACGTGTGCCAAAGTGAAAAATGTCTGTCAGACGTGCCTTCTTGATCTTGAGTACGGACTACCTACCCAAGTCCGAGACACCGCCCTTGCCATTCAGAATGAAGCACCAACCAGTGACATCAACCGGGAGTACTATGCGCAGAACATGGAGAACAAGGTGCGTTGGTGTCTAGCATCGGCTCGCGTACGTTTTTTTAAGTCATACTCAGATGGAGGATGGAAATCAATCCCTGATGCAAGTTGGGACGCGGGCTACATCTGCTGGGAAGGAAATGCTGAAGCAGCTCGCTCGGACAAACCCGTATTACAAGCGCAACCGCCCACACATATGCTCCTTCTTCGTAAAAGGAGAGTGTAACAGAGGTGACGAGTGCCCGTTCCGGTGAGCCCACATGCAATGACCTTCCCGCTTCAATCCCTGATAAGGCTTACTTTACCAGACATGAGAAACCTGTTGAGAACGCACTTTCCCACCAAAATATTCAGGATAGATATCATGGTAACAATGACCCAGTTGCACGAAAAATATTGGCCAATCATTCTGAGGCGCAAGGTTTGAAGCCACCAGAAGACGAGAATATCGTGAGTGAGATTTTCTTCCTCTCTAGTGCAGTGTTTGACAGTCTGGTACAACAGACCTCTCTGTTCCTTTCCTCTCTCCCTGCCTCTGCCACGGAACTTAGCATACGGACTCATGTCATTAATTCATTACCTCAAATACCTTCGTCACAGTTGCGGTCGGTCGTCCACATCGCAAAATCACGGTGCGTCAGAATGTATGCCTTTCAGTGGTGTTTTAAAGCTAAGACCCATTTTAGATGTGCATTTATCAACTTCAAAGACCGCGATTCTGCTGAGAGGGCAGCAGAAGCTTGGGCGAATGGCCTAGACATGGATAGCGAACGAGTTCACGTGAAGTGGGGAAGAAGTAAGGGTCCTTCCAAGTCTGCAACGCCTACCGCGGGACCATCAGCAATCCCTGCATCTGCGTGAGCCTTTTTTCCTTGCAGGAAGGGATGTGTCCATCAGATGTTATGAGCAATGTTTGTTGTATTCCATTGTGCGACCCTACTTTGACCTAGCTTGTTATTATTTACTCTATTGTAGTTGGAGTGTATGATACACATTATTCGTCTTGAGATGACGCGCTGCAGTCGAGCTGCAATCCCCGATTTCCAACGTTAGCGGAGAACTTTGGGCTCTTGTCGAACACGATCCGTTTCTCATCTCCCAGAATCTCTGCCGGCCACAACTGTGTTTGGGCCTTTTCGGTTACCATCATTTGACACCTTATTTGTCAGTGGCTTTGCTGAGCCCCTTTTTGCCGCTATGCACGCCTTGGTGGCCCATGGTCTTGACGGTGCTCTAGAGTTTCGCGCTGACCTCTGTTGACATCTCTGTCCGATACCTGGGTCTTGGCTCAGCAATCGAAGGTAGATAAATTTTTGTTCCGCCTCGGCATCGATATAAAACAGGAGCGCATGCAAAATACACATATCAGGACGATATGGCTGGGTCTGCCACTTGCAATTCTTCCACATTTAGCTTTCAAGTCATCCTCGGTCGCATTGGAAGAGTCAACGACCGAAGGAGTGCCCATCGATGAGGCTTCAGCGAGGCTGGGGACTTGGAGGTTACATCATTTTCCTGACTGTTAGACTCACTCTGTCTTTAGCTTGTGCGTATTCGTCTGGCCTCTGAGACCGGCCCCATTAATGTCAGTTTTCGTTTGGTGGTAGTCCGGTCAATTTTGGTCAGTTTGTATGTTGGCACGTACGCATCTCTGGGATATATGTTATGTTCCGAGACGACTCTCGCGATGCATGAAGGTGGATTCCTTTTCATGGATAAATTTTGATTCGCATAAAAAGGAGGTTTCTGCGCAATGACTGGGGACCTCCGAGGATCTACACACTGCAGAAAAAGTGTTGTCAGCAGGTTTCGAACCAACTCCAAGTGAAACAGATTTCGGCTCTGTTGTGGCAATCCCTGGGCTAAGACCGGTTAGATGGACCGTCGAGGAAACCATCCATGAGTCAATGTCAACAGGCATTCCGGTAGAAAAAAAAGCCTCTCATTCGGCAGGTTTCGAACCTGAGTCCAAGAGAAACAGATTTGGATTCTGTTGTGGTAACCACTTCGCTAAGACTAGTTATATGGACCGCCGAGTAAGCCATTCATGATTGAATGTCAAGTGTGTTCCGACAGAAAAACAACCTTCTCACATCGGCAGGTTTCGAACCTGCGCAGTCCAAGAGAAACAGATTTCGACTCTGATAACCACCTGGCTAATATTAGTGTAGATGAACGTCCGAGGAACGGTCCATGAGTGAATGTCAAGACGTGTTCCAAAAGGGAAAAAAAGACGTCACTTGTTGTCAGCAGGTTCGACAGATTTTGATTCTGTTATGGTGTCCACCTGGCTGAGACCAGTTAAGATGGACCTCCGAGGAAACCATCCACGGACCACGAGAGGCGTGCTCCGATAGAAAAAAACCTTGTCGTCGGCAGGTTTCGAACCTGGACTAGGACAGTCCAAGACACAGATTCAGATTCTGTTGTGGTAACCACCTTGGCCGGGGCGAATTTGAGATGATTCTCTGAGGAAAAGATCCATGAACGAATCTTCAAGGCGTGTTCTAATAGCAAAAAACAACCTGGTTTCGAGCCTGCGCAGTCCAAGATAAACAGGTTTTGAACCTGTTGTGGTAACCACTTGACTAAGACCAGTTTAGGTGCGCCTCCGAGGAAATCATGCCAAAGTGAATGTCAAGGTGTGTTTCGGTAAGAAAACATCTTGTCGTCGGCAGGTTTCGAATCCGCACCGCCCAAGAGATCTGCTCTCAGCTCCGGTGCCAGTTCGACGGCTATGATCAGACTAGTGTGATCACTTAAGATAGATCTTGAAGGATCCATTCATGAGTGAATGTTCGAGACGCGGTAAAAGGAAAAAAGATTGTTCAGCAGGTTTCGAACCTACACCAGTTCATGTCTATCCTGTCACGCTTACCACTTGGTTAAGACCCGTCAACATGAGTCGATGCATTGACAGTGGAACCACATGGAATTAGCAATTATTTGCCAACGCCAAATGAAATAAAAAGACTCGCTTGCGTTTAATTCGACGGACACAAAACATGGCCAGGAATAAGCAAGTCGGGGCTGGCGCTGGCGCCATTACGATGAAGTACACACGCACCCCATTAGGCTAGCCTAGAGTCACATTATAAGTAACGGAATATGACGAAAAAAACTGTGATGTAAGACAAAATCCTAACTTAATAATCCTTACTAGTGATTGTAGCTTTCAGCATCCAGCGACTTGTGATGATTACATCACTTAACAAGCAAGCCACCGAAACCCATGGACAAAAGCCAAGCCGCATACTCCGCGAAACCAATACCAGCATACAGAGAACGTCCAAAGTTGACTAGAGCAGGGCCAGCTGAAATAAAGGTTGGTAATACTGTTCCCAAGGTCCACGGTCAACGTACGGCAGACACCAGCGATCCCCCAGCCAATCCCAAATACCACTGACCCAAGTATGAGCCTACAGTCGATTTTGGTGGAGGTCGGGATGTTCCATTTGCCACCAAGCTTAGGTTGTTCTACACGGGCATACCGATAGAGCAGGGTAGCCAGAGGCAGAGCGCTTCCTGCAACGAACGCCAGGGTCGGGTTGAATGCCGAGGACAACGGTAACGTCAAGAATGCCAGAACTTTGTGTGGATCGACCATATTGCCAAGGCGGAGGGAGAACGCGAAAGCCAACGATGTCAAGAAGCTCGCCAGATACCGAAGAACGGACTGGAGGGTGTTCGGCACAGAGATTAGCACAAGAATGGATTTTCTGGCTCACGAGCTGTGAAATGTTGCCAGTGCCATTCTTGAGAGCCGAGCACGTGTACGCAAACCAAAGGGTCCCAAGGGAAAGAATTGCGCCTAGAAACTGTCGTCCCTGGTTCTCGCCGAGGGTCCAATCCAAAGACCCAGATGTTCCAAGAACGTCATTTCCGTGAGCGAAGTGGGTTGTAGCTACGGCACTTGCAAAGAACGTGGTTGTTGCCACCAGGGAACTTTGAATATATTGAACCGCAAATACTGAGAAGGCAAGTTCAAAGCATACCGAAGGGAAAATCGGGACAAGCCACAAATCATGTGGCTTGAGAAATGATCAGACGCATGCGCGTAACAGAAATACCGAGGAGGCGAACCCTGAGGTGCATCCATTGGCTAGCTATGGACCAATTGGGCAATGAATGATTACACCTTCGGAAAAAATGCCAAACATACCTTGGTCCCAATACCGACCAGCAATCCAGAAAATACCTTTCGGAGAAGCAAAGACGTAGTGTGGGGCACCGGGGTGTCCGCATCACCAATGATACCAACTGCAACACCACCTAGAACCAGACCCACGACGGAAATCATCGCTGCTTTATCTCCTCGATGTGAGCGGTGAACAAAGGCAGAAACCCCAAGGACAGATCCATTAAGCACCAGCAGAGAATGAACGGACAGCGCAATGCCAATCCCCCCTAAGAGGCCTTCCAGGGGTTTGGGACGGGACTCCGTGATCTCGGACTGGTGGAGCGACATAGTAATTCAGCCGGGGATTGTTGACCGAGGACCGCCTAAATACTGTGAGGTCCTCCAGCACTCTTGTTGGGTACCGGGTTTTGAACTCCTGTTGGGTGATGTGTCGGAATAAGGATAGAAGTCGGAATTCGGTCACGTCCGGTTTGCCTTTTGCTGTGCTACGTCTGGTCTTCCATACGTTGAAAATTCAAAACATGTTTCAACTGTGCCTCACACGACAAAACTCAAACGTGTTCTCGAGGAGAGAATTGGATTCGGAAACTACACTATCTAATACTCGTCATCGTACATGGACAAAAATATGGGATACATTGCCAATGAGATAAATCCACAAGTAAACAAGAAACACGCAGTTGAAGTACATACCTATAGAAAGAGAAATAAATCGAAGGAAAAGTTTACGCGGTGAGAGAATCGGAAGAGACACAGGCTAGATGTGCGTTCAGGACCGCGAGCGGTGAGCGGTGGCCTTCAACTTATTGGGCTGTAAAGCTCCGGGTCGTAGGGGACCTCTGACGTCGAAGATCGGGGAGATGCTGGGAAGCACGTTGAGATAGTATGCGCGCCTGGTGGTGGCCTTCAACCTTGTGGAAGGCTCCAGGTCATAGGGGACAGTGAGGGAGGCCGGTGCGTGAATAGTAATGTGGATTAGCCTGTACCACTCTAGTTGGGGGGCGCCAGCGTGCAGGTAAGGCCAAGCTTTGCCATGGCATTGGCCCAGCCATCGAGACGAGCTTCTTTATCGGTGAGGATCTCAGCATGGAATTGTTCGAGGTGGCCTAGTATATGAAAGCGGTGAGTGAAGCGGACGTCACGAGATATTACTTACCAATATAAGTCCGTGCGCGTGCGGCCCGCAAACGAGCACGGTGCTAAACAAACCGAGATGAGTATCGTACTTAGTTTAGTGACGGGCATGTCATACTTGCTGTTGGCGCCGGTTGATGATGAGCTTCGTATCTGGAGGCTTGGGTGGTAGGGTGATAGACTGGGACAGAGTAGTACTGCTGAGAAATAGCACTGTTATTGTCGTTGAGCTGTCTGGGATGGGAAGGTTGAGATTTGCAGGCGTCGTCCCCAGAATGAGCGGTTCAAGTGCCAGTTGCGACTGCCGAGAGGGAAAATCGGAGTTTTCGATGGTGACAATGTCCTGTTCCTTTGAATAGGTTGCCATCCTAAAGATTTAAACATCAGACGAAAATGTTTAGTAGGCTATGAAGCCTCGTGCCTTGCTTTCATCAAACCACTGTTTGGAGTCTGACACATTGTCGAGGTCGTTGCAAATGAAGTCGCTTGTGCCTCCGAGCTTTTGATGGAAGGTATGTATAGATGTCGGCGATGTTGTTGCCAGGGAAGGGTGGTGAGTCGGGGGCATGTTTCTGATTGAAGTCACCAGACTCACCACTGAGTAATTTCCGAGCGGTTCTGTCGGAGGCAAGAAGGAGGATCGCTATTGAGAGGCAGAGATCTGCCGCGGCGAGACCCATGGTGACGATGGTAATGCGTTCGGCTTTCTGAATAACCTTAGCCGCGTGGTCCGCAGCCGTTTTCTTGAAGAATGAGACCGCGAGGAACCCGGCGATAGTAACGCGCGCAGCCCCATGAAGGACGGTAGAGGTGGAAATCATTGTGATGGTATAAGATGATGAAGCTCGTAAATAAATGCGTATATGCGTAAAATGGGCAGGTCATCGGATATTTATATTCACACGGCCAACCTTAACGTTTCCAAATCAGGACTGTCAGGGGATTATCTCAAAGGCTTCGGAGCTGCAAGTTGGGCTCTGCAACCGTTCATTAACATTTCCACGTGCGCAGTATCGCCCATTTTCCAACAGACTATTCGTTATGTTTTCCGACATTGACACTAATCTCAAGACACTTTGTCACACCTTTTTTCGTAGGTTTGAGTCAAATTTTAACAGCATAAGTTAAGCTTACCCCTCGGATGATCCCTGACATGGTTCAATCGGACATACCAGTACTCATGAGAACAATTTTCCTGTGCTACATGCAAATACAGAAAGTCTATTTTCTCACTTAGATCCGCCCAGCCGCCGCCGCCGCAACAGCAACCATTGGGGCTTATCGAACCACAGTTTCTCCAGATACAATGTCTAACCCGAAATTTAGAATCGCTATCTGGTAAGGTGTTTTCAGTCTGTCGTCGTAGTCAAGCTCATTACAATACTGCATTAGCGGAGGAGGGGTAGGTGGTTTGACATTAGCTGTTGCTTTGTCCCGGCACCAGGATATTGCCGTTGACGTGTATGAAGCCGCGCAGAGCTTTTGTGAGATTGGGGCTGGTGTTGGTGTCTGGCCCAGGGCATTCAGGGTACGGATCTTGGAAAATAAAAGACATGCTAGCCTAAGACAATGATCCAGGTCTTACGAAAATTGGGGCCCGACTTCGAACAGCAACTGCTTCAACGCTGCGGTTACGAATACACAGAAGAATATGGTCAGTGAAAATCGTAGTGACGATACATGTTCGAATCCACTGAGAGAAATTTAGTCCCAGCTGTTAGGAGCCGTAAAAGTGATCAAGCTGTCGGCATTGAGCTGTTTGACTTGATGACGAAAGGTCAACTTTCCTCTGCATTCAAATGTATCCCATCCTGAACACCGCTGGTAGAACAGGCAAACTTATGCGTTTCCATCGAGCCGACTTCCATGGCGTACTACTCTCATTTCTTCCGCCGTCCTGCACAACGCACAACGCCAAGCGACTAATATCATATACTCAGCCCTTGGAAGACTGTTCAAGAAATTCACCAATTACGCTAACATTCAAGGATGGATCGACTGCAATGTGCGATATTCTAATCGGTGCTGACGGGATCAAATCTGCAGTCCGGCCCTGCATGTTGCGTGAACTGGCTGAGGGCATGGATCCCGATGAAAAGCAGTCCGTGCTATCTTGCATGAACCCAATCTGGAGCGGCGTCACTGCATATAGAACACTAGTTTCCGTACAAAAGCTGCGCGCGCGTTGCCCTGACCATCGTATCTTAAAGGAGTTTACCCAGGTAAGCCTAATTCCAGTTGCATTTCACCCCATTCACTTGGCACGGCGCTTTCATTCACAGTACATGGGAAAAGATGCTGTGAGACTCTTTAATCGATGGTGTACACTGCTGAGCCTGATGCATTGTAGTACTTCCTTGCATACCCAATTTCTCTTGGGCAATACGTCAACTTTGCGGGTTTCACGCTTGAACGTGATCTCGTTGACTCGGCGTATGAACCCGATACAGACATCCCTCGTCCGTCGTTCAAAGGGAAGACAAACGACGAGTGGGTTAGTGAACTCACTGCTCAGCAGTTTATTGAGCCTTTCAAAGACTTGGAAGAGGATGCACAACACATTCTCGAGGTCTGTTGTTCGTATCGAAGTTGCTGTTCATCACTGACGATTTCCACAGTGTGTAGAAAAGGGCACGCTTTGGGCCGTGCACACCGTAAAAAATTTACCATCCACTAATTTCGGGCGAGTCGCGATTATGGGAGATGCCGCACATGCAATGGCGCCGTTCCAAGGCTCCGGTGCTGGCCAGAGTATCGAGGTCAGTTGTGCACGATTGCACTCCGAGAAATTTACACTGTTGATTTGATTTGATGTGATAGGATGCTTACTTGCTCATGACCGTTCTTGGTCACAAATCTACGACCCTAGAAATGGTACCTAGGGCCCTCGCCATCTACGACAAGTTGAGAAGGCCATTCTCATCAGAAGTAGCTCGGCGCTCAATGCGTAGTGGCCAACTATGCGCGTTTCAGGAGGATGTCCCTTTGCACGCGCTTGGTGATACGATCACCAAAAATTGGGAGTGGGCATGGCTGACCGAACTAGATGATGCTTTGGAAGAAGCTGTCAGGCTTGTGGAGGACAGTTCGATCGATGTCAACTGAGAGATCTAATGTATACTGGCAGATATCCGTAGCTTTGCCACTGCAGCCCCGTGTCGCGAGCTGAGAATGTAAGATGATTTTGTATACAACGTTCACTCTGACTCGCAGTTATGACTACTTGACTGTTTCTTCTAGGTCTACTTCTTTCTAGATACCACTATGTAAGTCTTGTATGGAAATTGATACGTGCCCTCCTCCTTGTTAATCCAAACTCTACCATCTCCCCGCTCGAGGATACCTTTGAGGTCATCCGCTACCTTGGCTTTTTCATCTGGGGGGAGTACGGCAATGTAACTCTTACTCTGAGCACGATCCGTAACAATTTGCTCGCTAGCAAGAAGGTGATATGCCCACTCTTCCTCCTCCTGAGGATGGAACAAGGAGATATACTCAGGTGTAGAGAATGTCTCCCTCCAGAGACCGAGGCGAAATTGGGGCGTCCCTTGCTCATGAACCTCGATGCAGTCACAGAACTGTGCAACCCAACCTGCGCCGTCTCTTCGATGCTGTCAGAGGAATTGATGCGATGAAAATAACAGAAGCGAACCTGTCTTCACGGTTCCATATAAACACAACTGCGCCGTCCTTCTTCAAAATACGACCGAATTCAGCCGATGCTTTCCCATAGTCGGGGCACCAATGGAATGCCTATATGTCCGATGAGTGAACACCTGCACCTACCTTTATCTTGATAGTACTACTCACCTGTGCGATAATGATAAGGTCTGCCCACCCGTCTTCCACACCAGTGTTATCAAATGTCCCTTTGATAATAGAACTGCGATTATCATTGACAGTCTTCGTCCACACATCACGCATGCCGTCGCTAGGTTCGATAGCTCTCAGTGTGCCAATACTCGTAGCCCACTCAGAGTGAGCTAACAAGGCACGGGTGAAAATACCTGTCCCTGCCCCAATTCTGAAAGACAATCGAAGGGAGGAAGTAAAAGTAACATGCGTGACTCACTCGACAATGTTCAAAGGTGCTGTGCTCTTCGATACCTGACGAATGTACGAAAGACACTCAGCTTGGTACGAAGGGCGAGCCCTACGCACAGCTCGTGTATTAGCGCACTGTACGGACCACACGGATGGTAGTCAACTCAAGTCTCACCGGTCATATAGTTCATTCGTCCCAGTGCCAAATCCTTTTTGTGCAATAGCGTATACATTTGTCGTCATGGTGCGCGTGAGCCTTAAATTTAACGTAGAAGACGCGAAAACGAATCGCTGAGCTCGCAAAGATACGAGGTCAGTGATCATGGATGGGAAGCCATTGCAGAGGCGTTATTTATATCATGCCAACATGTCGCGGCCTTCGGAAACCCGTATGATCTAAAAGCATGCGACAGCAAAACAGTGAAGTCGCCTAACTGCCGAAACCTCCTGAGAGTAAGTTCAGCAGCCATACTATTGCTACCGTACATTCGTCCGAAGATTATGTAAAGTTCAGGCTGGTGACCGTGACCTGTCAGCCTACCGAACTTGGAATATCGGGCCCAGTGAAAACAAGTTTGTAGCCAAAGGCACTGGAGCAATGTTGTTGTGGGCAGACATAAATTCTGTGGTCTAGATTAATCACGTTGTTGTGCGTCGTGAGGGCTTCCATCTGTACATGGCGTTAGACTTGATTGAAAACAAGCATCCGTCGACGACCGTACAGATTTCGTGCTTGGCAGCTATGAGATTGCAGCTGATGAACTTCAAGATGAAGCTTGGCAAACACCTCGTCGCAACCCTCTACTGTGCACTGAGATGACAACATTAGTGTGGATGACTTGGATGTGGTGATCGCACGCACATAACAAGACACGCGGAGGGCAGCGTCATGGTGAAGCAGATCGCAGGATAATATGGAGGCACCTAGCAAACAGACCTTTGGTGCTATGAATTAGGTGGAGTCTGTGCTTATTGCACACCAAGACTGGTCGAATACTTACAAGACGATTTCTGTCGTGGTCGTGGTCGCGTTCGAAGTCGATCCGTTTTCACTGGGGTTCATATTGATATTGAACCCTCACGGGGTGTGAAGGCGAATTCCTTTTTATGAACAGACTATCACATAACTTGAAAATTTGGGAGTTTTCGGCACGATGATCATTAAGACTAGTACAGTCGATTCCGAAAGTCTCGGCAGTTCAAAAATAGTGAAAATTCATTTAACGAGTTTCGTAGGCCTCTAAACAACTTCAAACACACCATCTTGGATCTCGCACCTATTTTCTACTCACACTCCCCATGGTCTACTAGAGGATCAGTCCCGACCGAAAAGAACGAGCTCTGTACCTGCATTTGGAGGAAGCATGGGAGATCGAACACATGTGAATGTGCAACTTACGTCTGGTATTCTGCTCCACTTCACCAAACGAGAATCCAAATGTGTTTAATATTTAATGTCGTGAACAATAAATGTTTAGCGTCCTCAAGGACAAAGATGACGATAAGCTAATAAGCAACGTCGGCGAAGAGAAGACAGTGCAGAAGATAATGTAAGGAGGATACCGCCAGTATTTTTCACAGTTCATCAACTTGCACCCTACACCATGGCATTCACGCACCCAGAGATGCTTCGGGGACGTTGGCCAGAGTCCGTTCAAGACTGGACCGTCCTGTCCTACGTAGAGTATAACTCTCAATATTGATAGGACAAAACTTGTATTTTTCGATTGCAAAAATACATCAACCTAGTCATGGTGTTATAGACTGAAACTTGATATTTAGAGATACAGGCAGCGGTCGTAGTTTCCCCCTTGGTTTGCACCCCACCATGCCGGGAAAAGATGTGATGTTCCAGCAGCCCCTTGGACCGCAAAGGTGAGAATGAATACCATGATTTGCGTTCCACCATCGAGGGCTATATTATAGTATGATGTTAGCAGTTGAGATAAAAAGGCCACAAAGCTTACCTGCACCGACCAAATAGTTGTATTTCACGAACCAACGCGGGTACCTAGTACGGAGCCACCACTGACACAAGAACGAGACCGCGAAATACGACAGAATCGAAGAGTTTATTCCAGCAGCAAGCCATCCGATGTATGTACTATAGTTACAATGAGCTTAGAATATCAATCATTGATGATTTGAGAGCGTACCAAATGATAGGGGTGTAATAGTAATCCATGCGTAGTCTCGGCCAGTAACGGTGTATAATCCAGAAAGGAAGAGGCGCAACCAGGCCAATGAGATAGGACAAGGGGACCCATTGGTACCTTTGACCAGTTGAAAAGAGCTCGTGAGCAAGACCACCCCATGCAACGGCTTGCGAGTTGTATGCTTGAGGTTGCTGGCCAGACCAGATGTTTGTTCCTTGTACAGACAGCAGGATTTCGCGTTGACTGTCGATGATAGAATTCATTAATACTAAAAGAAGTCAGATGTGGCGAAGGGATAAGCAAGACGGCTCCCTAACCATAGTTAAGAACAGCGCCGAACAAGGTGCCAATGATCTGGGCCACGAATGCAGCGCGGGGAGGCAGTTTGGCATCTGGGTATCCGCCAGTGAGAGGTACCTTTCCCGATAAATGATGTCGACATACATTGAGCGATCTTCAGATCGCGTAGCAGCAGCGAAGCTTGAGCCACAGTATTCTGGACGAGAACGTGAATCAAATGCGAATCAAGGCGACCATAGGGATACGGACATAGCTGTAAAGGACCTGTCAACGACAACATCAGTAGTGGTCAAAAATCGGAAAGTACGTCAATACGAACAAAGAACATATTCGCCATGGGGCTTCCGTTGTGCATGTAGCCAGCAATCATCTGCACCAGGGTTTCTTCGCCAAAAGATCAGCTAGGATAGCTATAACGCATGAATAATACGTGCGGATGGGAATATAAATGCCGGTAATGGCGTACAACGCGCCGAAGAACAAAATAGACACGGCGGCCAAGAGGACTGCGATGACAAAGCCCCACCTCAAAACACATGATAAAAATTTTCGCCAGATGGAGAGTGAGAATGTTGCTCACCAGGGAAGCGTGGAATTTGTCTCGTAGATGACGACCAGTCCAACAGTGAAAGAGAGAACAAGCGTCAAGAGGTACCAACTATTCGGAGCATCTGGATACTGTACGGCAATGTGTTACTAGTAAGTCTCCATCTGGTGTCAGGAGCTAACCTTCAGCATCTCCCGGTAGTGTGGGTCGAGGTCCTCAGTGTTGGCGGGGACATCCCTCTTTCCACCGTGTTTCCAGAATTTCCAATCGAAATTAGCACGCCAACTCCTCAGCGTATCCATGTTCATCCAAGTCCAGGCTGCACGAAGGTCATCTCTATTCCACAGGAGGAGGTGAGTGAATGTCGCAGCGAGTCCCTGTGTTGGAACTATGAGCAAAGCATTTTACATCAGCAGTAATTCACGGCATACGAGGTTGGTTGACAGCAGGTTAATAATCCAAGCGCCAGGGTAGAATGGCAGTCCCTGTTCCGCCACTAATGTGGGATCCACCTCATAGTTGGAGTTCATGATTAAAGTCTGGTTGTAGACAGTCCCGTTCTCGTAAAAGAGAAGCTGCGCCAACTGATCGGCGCACTGTTAGCCTGGAAATTAGAAAGCACAATGAGGATATCACGTACAAATGGGAAGTTCTGAGATTCCCAAATGTTGTTGTAGAATACGGCGACGAAAACAACCCTTCAACTGCCTCAGTAATATGATCTACCGTGACCTCATTCACATACATGCAAAGAATGTAACCAATGAAACTAGAGAGCTAGAGTAGACGTTAGAATTGTCGTACGGATTGTTGTGCCAACTGACCTGAGCTTTCAGCGGGATAACCATCGGGTTGACACCACCCGAGATGTACTAAACCAATTGAGTTCAACCCAAGTGTCAGCCAAATCAAGGTACCAAACATTACCTGCCAGTCGAAGCATATTGACAATAGACCGAGGCCCTCGTTTCCATTGGAACCACCAAACACACGAGACACGGCAGCATTGTTAGGAGCAGCGAGGCAGAATATTGAGAGACCGGTTAGCAGTGGGAATATCCATTCGGGAAACATTTCCCATATAAAGATTCTGAGTTCAAGATAATTAGAAATTGAAAATTATGATCTATCGATGAAAGTTAAACATACGCAGTAAAGACGAAATAGAAGACCTTGAGCCTTCTGCGTGCTTCGATGCCATCGCGATAAAAAGCGTCGAACATGGAGAGCAACGGGAGAACGCTGGGGTACAACATCTTCGACGGATAGAGGAGGATCCCTGGGTCAGTGTCGTAAGTTGAGATTACAAGTGTAGCTACTGTTGGACACAAAAGTACCTCGCATCAGACCGCCGATCCCATAGCTGTGGTTTGCAGCTTGAGTAATGGATGCAGTAAGGAGTACGCCAGCGCAACGCACCCGAGCAGTTGAGAAGAGAACAACAAAAAGATTGATGAGCCGGCGTTCGGAGTGATGTTATAATACAAACTAATGAGTCGTGAATCACCACCGACAGAAAAATCGGATTGCGAGCCCACCGTTGGACAGCGAGAACTTCCGTAGCTAATGCAGAATTCGCGGCTGCACTGCACATAATGATAATGAACGCATTCTCCTTCTTATTGAATGGCCCCTGATATTCATAAGTATGCATGAGCGTCAAGGTCAGGGACTACGTGGAAGACGCACCGGATTCAAGTATCGGAGCAGTCCGTGGCGGGGGATGAATGTCTCCATCGCAAGGCCAATCACATAAGATATGATGGCGAGGAACATCAAAGACACACTGATGGTTTGCTGGAGTGTCAACCCAAATGAGGCGTTTGAGAAAATGTTTGATCAGGAAACTCTCACAGGTTTGAAGTAATAAATTTGAGCTAGGAGGCAGTGCAAGTGAGTAAGAGCCTCGACTAGATGATCTCGACTGCTTTACCCAGGGAACCACCGAAGGCGGAAAGGCCAAGACCGATGAAGAAAGCCCGAAAGGTCCAGGGGTTCAGACTAGGATCGTCGTCCACGGAAATGACGTGAGTTGCAATGTCTCGCTCGTTCTGAAGGACAACGTTCTCGTCTGTGTCATCGTCTCGGGTGGAGGTTTCGATATCCCCCTTAACGCAGTAAGATTTCTTGTCGGTGGCACTAGGAATCTTTTCCGTACTAGTAGCCATGGCTAGAGAGTACAATATGCCAAAGCAGACCGAGGTAAAGTATCTGATGTTTATCTGATATATAAGTATGCATCAATGCCAACACAACCTAGCAAGGAACGGGCCAGTGGGCCGAGAAAGAACCAGAAGAGAACCAAAAGAGAGATAAGCCCGTGGGTGCGGCGGAACCAAGGACGCCAGCAGCGTTGGTGACGCGCCGTCTCTCTCGCATGACCATATAGATTCAAAAGATAAGGGACTTTGAGTGAGATTGACAATCGACTAAATGAGTCAAGAAGTCAGACCGGCCGCAGCGTTGGTTTGTAATATGGATTTAGTTAACCCGTCTTAACTCGTACGAGATTGTCTGTTCGCTTGCCAATGCCATTTGATTGATATTGATTGATAGTACCAGACACGCTTGCATTATTCTGTTTGAGATGGTCAGGACTT